AGGACGAGGACGCCAACGTCCACGGCCACGACGGCGATCACGAAGACCACGAGAACGACGATGACGACCTCTCCGACCGCGAACATCACGACGACGACGATCTTCCCAAGGAGCCACGAGGTCGAATCTTTGAAGGGCGTGTGCCGAAATGGGCGTGGCAACGCTGTCGGGACTCTCCCACTGGGACTTTCGGTGGACCTCCCCGTGGGGGCGCGAACCGTGTGAAGGTGTGCCGACATGCACGTGACAGCGCAAGGCCGACTCTCCCGTTGGGTCATTCAGTGGAGCTCCTGATTGGACGACGGGCACAGAACGTGTAAGGATTGCGCTGAAATGGGCGCGGCAACACCGTGCGGACCCATCCATTTGGGCTTTCCGTGGGGACCCCATATGGGGCCAGGAACCGCGTGATGGGGTGCGCCGACATGAACGCGGCAGCGCCCTTGCGGCCCTCCCATAAGGGCCTTCGGTCGAGTTCCCAATTGGCACGAATCGCGTCAGGGGTGCGCCGAATTGGGCGCGGCGGCGCCATGCGAACCCTTCAATTGGGGCCTTCGGTTGAGCTCCATATGGTGCCACCAACAGTGTGAGGGGTGTGCCAACATGGGCGCAGTGACGATGATGATGTTGATACTGGCGCTGGCGGTTGTCATGGCGATGACTGATGCGAGATGTTCAATTGATGCGAGTTTCAATGACGCCCAGTTGTTGTAGTCAAAACATGTTTTCCAATACAACATCTATATATATATAGATATGAAATGGTCAACCCCAATTGCGCACCCCTCACGCGGTTCGTGCCCCCATTAGCCCAAAGGGAACGGTACCGCAGGCCCTTATATATATATATATATATATATATATATATATATATATGGAGGGCCCGCAAGGGCGCTGCCGCGCTCATTTCGGCACACTCCGTCACACGATTCCTGGCCCCATACGGGGTTCCACGGGGGGGCCGAGTGGGTCCGAGGGTCGGCATTGCGCTGCCGCGCACATTTCGGCACACATCCCTCAGAGACTGGACCTCGCGGCCCCCTTGTACTTTCATGTTTGGAATTTCGATGATGTGTTTGGGATGTTCGTTTTATGGTGTTCTTACCCTGGGATTTTCATATTTGATAGGTTCATTAGGCGTTTGGGATGTTCACTTTTGGTTTTGTTACCCTGGATGTTTTGTCATATTTGGACTCACAACTTTGAGTTGTCGGTTCAAGTAGTCATGAAATAGATAGTGGATAGTTGATCGGAAGTAAATATGGAACAAATCTGGAATAGGTATGGAATAGTTGGGAAATCGATTGTATGAGTGTTCTACAACTAGTGTACAGCTGTTGCACAACTATAATATAACTAGTCTACATCTATTTTGAAATAAATTGGAGCGGGCTTTAAAGCCCCCCCCCGACACCTCCGGCAGCCCGGGTGGTGCCGGAAGGGCCCCCCCCCCTGGCGCGGACAAAGCTGGCAAAGTGCTCAGTGAGATCTCTGGCGTGATGCCATTGTTTCAATTCCTGCGTTGTCAGCACGATTTCGGTCTCCGAGGGGGCAGTTTCTGGGCCCCAGGGCCATCAAGAACAGTACGGAACGAAGAGCTGGTCCTTGGGACGGCGTCGGAAGCCCTGGGGGGCCACGAGTTGAGGCAAAAAACACTCCATCGGAGGCCTGGGATCTTGCCCTTGAGGAGGAGAAGGAGGAGGAGGGCATCCTCTTCTATCTCCCTCGCTTCCTCACCATCTCCTCCACCCTCCTCCTCCTCCGCCTCCTCCTCCTCCGTCCTTCTCATCCTCCTCCTCCGTCTCATCCTCCTCCTCAGCTCCTGCTCCCAGGACAGCTGAGGCAGAGGCGCGTGCTCAGGCGAGGAAGAGGCATGGGCACAAGGACGTCGGGGCGCGCAGCCACTCCCGCGGTTATGCCGAGCGCATGCAGAGCAGGCACGGCCCGAAGAATCGGGAGGGAGACGCAAGCGACCACGACACCACGCAACTGACCACATTTCTCGAGCCGCAAAGCCCGGCGGTCACAGTCGTGGGGCGAGGGGTGAGGGCGCAAAGCGTGGGCAAGGGCCAGACGCGGCAGGTGGCGGCGGTCTGCGCTACTCTCATGCCTCTGGGAGTCGCGCTGCTGCTGCATGGAATGTTGGAATCTTACCGAGTGAGCCCATGACCGCACGGGCAAATCACAGACGAGCCAAGGGTCTAAGAGGCATCGCTCAGATGCACGAGTGCAACGCACATCATCCCTTTGGACTTGCAGCGAAATTTGAATACCCATAGCAAGCCAAGGGGAGTGGGAAGCATTAGGGGAGACAATAGGAGAAGGCACAAGATAAGGAGTGGAAGAGGGTGCGCGGGAGGACGCAGAATCAAGCGAATGCTGGCGCACAACACCAGGCGCTGGCAGAAGGACGGAGGATGAAAAGGAGCAAATATCGGTCAACTAAGACACCCTCTTGTGTCTTGGAAAATCACCGGACGGGATACTTTACCTGTCGGCGCTCGCAAACTATGCCACACCAAAAAGTTCAAAAGTTCAACGGGTTTCGTGGCCCTGTCTGGCAGAATAGCATATGTACAATGCGCTCTTGGGCATGTTTGCAGCCAGTGCTGCAGGGAACAGGCCCAATTGCACAGCTTTGAGCTTCAATCCCTAAAAAACACATGCTCTAAGAAGTCCCTATAATGTCAGACGGGAAACTGTCCATTTGGTGGGGCGCGGGGTGTCTGGCGCAACGTATGGCGCAACACATTGAAGTCCGACAAGGTGGGGAACACTCAAGTCGGCGGGGCGCGGGGGGTCTGGCACAACCTATGGCAAAACACGTGCAAGGGAGACCGAGTGAGAACATCGAAATTCGGTGGGGCGCGGGTGTGCTTGGCGCACCACATGGCGCAACCGATGGAATGTAGACAGCGCGGGGCAATCGCAAGTCGGTGGGGCGCGGGGCGCGTCTGGCGCAACCTGTGAAAGGCAGGCAGCGTGGGGAAATCGCCATTCGGTGGGGCGCGGGCGTGCCTGACCCAACCCATGGCGCAACCCATGGAAAATAGACGCAAAGGAGGCAATCACAATTCGGTGGGGCGCGGGGCGGGGTGCCAGGCACAGCCCGGCGCAACCTATGAAGGTAGACAGAGAGGCAATTCGGTGAAGCGCAGGGCGTGTCTGGCGCAACCTCAAGCCATTGACGGTGGGGAGTGGGGAACTCGTGATTCGGTGGGGCGCGGGCGTGTCTGGCGCAACCTATGGCGCAAGCTAGGGAATGTAGACGGAGTGGGTAATCGCAAGTTGGTGGGGCGGGGGAAGTCTGGCGCAACGGCGAAACCCGTGGAAGGTAGGTAGAGTGAGCAAATCGCAATGCGGTGGGGCGCGGGGTGTCTGGCACAACCGATGGAAAGGTAAACAGAGTAGGAAAATCGCAATTCAGAGGGGCGCGGGGTGTCTGGCATTACCTATATCGCAACCCACGTCGCAACCAATGGAAGGTAGACAGAGTGGTAATTCGGTGGGGCGCGGGTGTGTCTGGCGCAAGCAATTCAATGTATACAGAATGAGGAAATTGTAAGTCGGTGGAGCGCGGGCGTCTGGTGCAGGCCTGTGGCGCAACCTATGGAAGGCAGACAGAGCGGGGAAAGCGCAAGTCGGTGGGGCGCGGGGAGTGTCTGGCGCAACCTGTGAAAGGTAGACAGAGTGGGGAAATCGCAATTCGGTGGGGCGCGGGGTGTCCTGCACAACCTATAGCGCAACCGGTGGAAAATAGACGGAGTGGGGACACAGTAATTCGGTATGGCGTGAGGGGATTGGAGCAACGTGTGGCGCAAGCTATGGAATGTAGATAGACTTGGGAAATCGCAAGTCTGTGGGGCGCGGGGTGTCTGGCGAAACCTCTAGCGCAACCTATGGAAAAATAGGCAGCGTGGTGAAACCGCACATCGGTGGGGCGCGGTGTGTCTGGCGCAACCTGCGGCCCAACTCATGGAATTTAGACGGAATGGGGACGTCGCAGTTCGGTAGGGCGCAAGATGCCTGGCGAAACCTCCCAAGACGGCCCGAGTACCCCTACAAATGGTCCCAAGATCCTCCCAGACGGCCCAAGGACCTCGAGAGGGCCCTTGGAGACGCCCCCGATAAGCACCCAAGATACTCAGAAACATGCTCTCCAAGAGATCCCGAACAGGGCCTCACAAAATGCTCCGACGCCCTGGAAACATAGTGCTACCATGGCAGGCCCGGTGTGGACATTTGCATAACCTCCGTACACTTCGAGGCTGCGCTGGCGAGGTGGCGAGGTTTGCCGCAAGCAGCTGGATATGGGGAGGGGGAGCTTGGCCATGGCCAATAACTCGGTCATGGTTTTCGCACATCGGCCATGACGTGTATAGTATGACCACACCTACCAAGCCACGAACGCATCTGAAAAACAGTTCGTATGTATATCCCGCCGAGATGGGCTCAAAATCGGTCCCTGGACCCTACCGGCAACTTTCTGGGAGCCCCGGGGAGAGCATCGAGAAACGTCATACCTCGGACCTCGCCGCGAGCCTCACAACGGCACGAACAACGCACTGACCGACATTGTGCACGCCAGGTTCTGGCCCAACAACCACTTGCCAAAATGGTTACCGATCGCTATCCTCCTACCCTTTCGAATTCTTCAGGCGTGATGTTCTCGCTCTTAGAATACCTCTATTCCGATATGCGAGTTCGAGGGTGGGTCCCCGTGAACACTCATAAAACTCATCGTCCAATGTCTTCTGGCACTCCGAGACGGCTGGAAGACGATCCAAGCTGGCCCCAAGGCCCCCAAGCGGCCCGTGAGGCTGCCAAAGCAGCTCTGACATGCTCTTTCCCCTTCAGGCAGCCGTGACGGCTCGGACTGAGGATTAAGACTGCTTCCACCACTGCACAACCACTCGTTGCTCGGATTCCAACGCACGGCTGCCACGACAGAAAGGTCGGCGGATGTGACGTAAGCATGGTGAGCCAATGTCGCATCCGTATTACGCCGACACGGGATTAGTTTGGCCTGGACATGACCAGCCTGGCATCCACAAACCAGTACCGCTAGGAACGCTCGTGATGCTCGTTCGTCGGCTCGGGCGGATATCAGATCTCAAGGGCCGGAGCTTTCCCGACAAGCAACCGTGCGCAATGCTTTCCAACCAGAGGAATGGACGCCAGTCTGCCCAAGCCTATGGCACTGATCATGACTGACAGCATGCCGAACACATTGTACATAATTGCTGTTGATTGAAACATCGAAGGCAAATTTATCGTCATTTGGTGCAGACCATCCAATAGTACCATAGGCATTAGAAGATGATGCGCGACGTAGACAGTGAAAGTTTGCTGGTCATGAGGAGAAACAGAAAACAGCATAATATGAACCACAGGGTAAATTCGCCGGCCCAACGGGCCAGGGCGTGCTAAGATCTCCGGTAACTGGTTAACAGTATTAACAGTATTTCTAGTTCGCGCGCGCGGGGCGGCCCCTGGGGGTCCCCCGGCGAAAAGTACCCCGACCAACGCCCGGTCGCCGCCCGACCAAGTCTACTCAGAGATGGTTTTCCTTCTGGGTGCGGCCTCTCAGGCTCCCCAGAGCGCGCTCAGAGTGCCCCAAGAGGCCCCCAAGACTGCCCAAGAGGCCCCCGAGACGCCCAAAGAGCGCTCGAAGACGCCGAAGATGACCCCAAGACGGCCCAAAAGGCCCCCAAGACAGCCCAAGAGGCCTCCAAGACGCCCCAAGAGCCTTCCAAGAGGCCTCCGAAGAGAGCCCCAAGAGGCCAAAATCGTTGATTTTCATTGGTTTTTTCGATGTTTTTTGTGTTCTGGCTTTTTCGGCTTCCGGACGCTCCAAGACGGCCCAAGAGGCCCCCAAGACCGCTCCAAGACGGCCCACGAAGCTCCCAAGACGGCGCCGAAACGACCCAAGAGAGCCCTCAAGACGGCCCAAGTGCCGCCCAAGACGGACCAAGAGGCCCCAAGACGGGCCCAAGAGGGACTCAGGAGGGATACCGAGAACTCAAAAATGGAGCCCTCCGTCCCAGAAGGCGCCCAGGAGGTCCCAAAGAGGCCCCAAGAGGCCTCCAAGAGGCCCCAAGATGTCGCCAAGAGGCCCCAGGAGACTCCCAGGAGGCCCAAAAGAAGCCCCAGAAGGCTTCAAACATGTCTCCCAGGCGCCCCCGAACGGCCTCTCAACAGACCCCAAGAGGCCCCCCAAAGAAGCATCTTGACGACGACTCTATTTCGCCCCATCGAGAGACGACCCCCAGGGAACTGCTTCACCATCAAAACTCCCCACGCAACGCGTCCGAACGACACCCGCCCCCAAGAGCGCAACATGGGCAACGAACACACAGACAAAAACCAGCGATGCCATATCACGGGCCGGCGGAATGAGCGAAGCGATTCAATAATTTGTGTTGCCTGCCACGATATTAAATCGGCTATGGACTCCAGCTGGAGCACTCCTGGCCTGAATATGCCTAAGCAGCAAGCGGTCCAGGCTGCCCACAAGCAGAAAGCTGGCCCCAACTGAACAAAGCTCAATCTATCAACGGCGATCCCCAAGCTCGCGCCCCTTCGCATCGATGCGGTGGACATGCCAGACTTCAACAACACATGAATGGATTGATCAACGCATATCGCCTCGTCCCCAATAGAAGTGAATATGTTCGCCTTATCGCTGTCAACTGCGCACGACGATCCACGAATAGAGCCTCTGAAACCAAGACCAAGCCGTGCAAGGTCTGCCCTGTGTTGAGCCCATCTCACTCCGTCTATCGCTGAGAGCATAGGCACGACAAAAAAACACACCCACGTGATAACAGTGACATATGCGGTGCTGGAAAGAAGATCTGTCACCGGAGTGTCAGGAAGCATCACGCGCCTAATCCCAAAATATCCGGCGACAGCTGTAAACACCGCGGACATGTATATGAGCACAGTGCGGCGCAAACCTGGCATGGCAAACGAAGCGAGCACAGTACTAATGCACCCCACAGCGAAACATGCTGAAACCACATGTGGGGGCCAATCGGAGCGCAACATGTCCTCAGGTATGCAAACCATGCACAACACCGCAACGAAAGCCAACGCCAAGCATGGACCACCTCCGGCTTTAATTGCGGCCTTTGCGCACAACGGGGTCCATGCTGTGAAGATTTCCTTTCCCCAGGCGTAGGCCAGATAGGCCTCGTAGCAACACCAGAGACGAGTATAAATGCCGATGCTCCGATTCGGCACCGCAATCATGTGGGTAGATTGTGACAATGCGCGGGCGAATGGCGATGACAAGGGATCCGAAACCAAGCCAGCGATATCAGCATTTTGGGGGTTGGACAACAAGCAAGCATAGGCGCCGCGTTTGTGCCAGGGCCAAGACGCAAGGACTCGATCAATGAACTCGTATATTCCCTCAGCCCAAGCATGCGTGATGAAAACTTCGCATTCTATCCCATTTGGGTGATGCATGAGAGCGTAACTGGCTCCGCCCGAAGGCCCATCCAACCGCGTCATAGGCTTGATCAATTGGTCGATGACGGTGTAGATGTTGGGGCCAACTGCGCTGTCTGCTGGGTCGAACATATCCCTGCTGGTGCGAACGATATTTCCTGTCGCGACTGCAGCTTCCACCTCCCGGCGCAACCGATGCAAGTCCGTCTTCGTGATACCCCAGCGGTCGGCGCCAACTTGCTCGTGGAGCGCGAGACTGGGCCTGGGCCGGCGATCTCCAGGGGCCTGCAGTCCCGGCGCGCTCGCGCACAGGCCCATGGATCGATTGACGAAGCCACCCTCCCCGAAGTGGGCACGCGCATCGCCCCGCCTCCTTAAGACGGTGGGGCTCGATCCGAAACGCTGCGGCCAAGAGACAAGCTGGGCTGCTCGGAAAGAGGCCTCCTCGCGTCCCCACTGAATATCACCCCCCATCCCCACAGCCCCCTCCGCATGATAACTGGACGGGGGGGGGGCAGACAAGCTAGATGCGCTCGCGTCATATCTGACGTCCTGGCCCTCCCTCCCATCGCTTACTATGGCGTAGATCTCCTCTCTCTTCGCACAATCGGATGTCGCAGCATGGCACAGCATGACATGGCATAGCATGGTGTTGAAGATCAACGCGTAGCATGACATAGCATGGCGTGGCGACGCCCCAAAGTGGAGGGGGGCTTCTGCGGCCCAATAAATCAACGAATCGGCACCGATTGTGTGATCACTTCCGATGGTTTACTCGGGAGGCCATTGTCTAGATTTTAGGGCCTGTTTGGAAGGACCGAAAACCATGCCGTGGCATGGCACTGGAAATAATGACGCCATCGCTGCAGCGGGAGCACGATTCGGGACGAACGGAAGCGCGGACATGAGGCCAGCCCTGCAGCGGGAACACGATTAGGAACGAGCGGAAGCGCGAAAATGAGGCCAACGCTGCAGCGGGAGCGAGTGGAAGCCCGAAAATAAAGGCAGCGCTTCAGCGTGAGCAACATGTTGAAACCCAAGCGGAAACCCATTTCCGGGGAATCCTGTGTAAAAAACAATACGCGGAGGGGGGCCCGATATCTTCTGGACGTCATCAGGGAAGAGAGGAGAGTAGTATTCATATTGTGTAATGTAAAGGAGGAGGAGGAGGAGGAGGAGGAGGAGGAGGAGGAGGAGGAGGACCAGTGTAAACCCAAGAGGCATCAACGATGTTGGAATTAACCCTCCCTCCAAGCTCCCTCTTCATAGGCCCCTACAACGGCTCATTTCCATTGAGGGAACTACCTCGTTGGAAGATAACCGTTTGAAGACCCTGAGGCATGCCAAAACATTGTTCTCGGGATTTTAACGCCACGTATCAAGCTAACGGCTGCGTTGTGGCGATCCAGTATCTCGCCATAACGCAATATGTTGGATTTCAACACCGCGAACCAGCATATTTGTCGCACCCGCATAATCATGAATCCTTCCTAAACATACCTCTTTGTACGCTGATCAACTGAATCCGTGAAACTCCTGCATATGTTTAGAACGAATGTGCGCGGCGCTAAGGCGAGAACCACATTTTGAAAAGGACCCCCCCTCAGTCCGTGAAGTTCTTGCAACGTACCAATAATATGCGCATCGCTGACGCGAGAGCCACATTTTGAAAACGACCCGCCCTCAATCCGTGAAAATATTGCAACTGTTTAAAATGAATGTGCGCGGCGCTAAAGCGAGAGCCACATATTGAAAACGACCGGCCCTCCATTTGGGAAACTGTTGTCACTGTGAAACTGCTGCCACTTTGTAAGTTTCGGGGAAGTCTCAAGCGACACGCCCGGCCCGCCCTAAAAACTAGCCTCGGGGTGCGACAGGGAGGAGTTATCTATAAGTAGAAGCAGTGGAGGAGGAGAAGGAGAAGGATAAATAATAATGAGCGAAAGGGAAGGGGAGGGGTATGACGAGGAGGGGGAGGGACTGAGGAGGAGGAGAGGGGTGAGGGGGAGGAGGAGCAACTGACGGATTCAAATTACTCGAGGCGTAGCTGATGGGCCCCCTGTGGGAGAGACGCTGGCCAAGTCCACATCAGCACGGGACGCACGTGCGAGATTCGGCACGTGGGCGGGCAGGGGGGGAGCTACTCCCGGGAGGGGAGGGGCCTTCCAACCAGGGGGTGCGAGAGGGAGGGAGGGGAAGGAGGGGAGGGAGGGGAGCTGGTCGCAGGGAGTCCAGGAGGGCGAGCCAAGGAGGGGCCGAGCTTTTCCGCAGCTCGGCTCCGGACAGGCGCGCCGCCGCCACGTCGGCGTCCTGGGCGACTTGCTGCCGCCTCCGCATGGCCACCATCGGATGGCAGCCATCGAGGATTTGGGCTGGGATGCGGGGCTGGCCCTGGGCCGGAGAACGCGCCGTCTCGTCGACCAGCGGCCCCCCCCCCTGCAGGGGTAGCCAATGCAGGCTGCAGGCTGCGACGCGTGTGCGCTGCTGTCGATTGCCAGGGGTGGGCCAAAACCTGGCGCGCTCAGGTGCGAGCGTAATCACGCGATGCGGGTGCCGACGCGAGGTCGAGCTCACTCCACATGAGAATCACCCGACCCCCTTTGTGGGCCAGCACCAAAGGCCACTCCGGCGAGGGGTCACTCTCGCGTGCAGTGGACACCCCCGGGGCGGGCCGAGGGGAAGCAGGGCTGCCTGGCCCCGAGGGGCACCGTCTGGCGCAGCGGGGCGTCCCGAGGATCTGCCCCCGGCAGCAGACGCAGGCCCGTCCGCCTCGCCCTCGGGCGGGCGCCAGAAGAGTGTCGCAGCGCAGAGAGCTGGGCACCGCAGCCGACTTTTGGGGGGTCGCAGAGGGGTGTGGTAGAAAGGGGTGCGGTGCCAGTGCTGGAAAAAAGCGATGTGATCTACGATAGCCACAAGTGCGATGCACCCCGATGTCAACAACGCTGGTTTCGCGTCCAGTCGGACAGGACGAGCGCTGGCCCGGGGAGGCCGCGGCGAGAAGGCCGAGCGGGAGCGCGCAAGACAACCCACTGCCCGGCAATGGCCAGGCCAGGTCGGGTCCGACCTCCAAACCCTTGTTTGCAGAAAGGCTCGCAGTGTTGCGCTGTACACAGAGGTTGTTGCTAGATTTCCGCGCAACGGCCGTCGGTCTTTACCCTGGGGGGGAGGAGCGGGCAGCGGTAACGCTTGGGCGGGGTGGGGCACGCCGGGAGAGGGTGAGCCGCGATTGCCACCGTCGGGCACAACATGCCTTCGGGCACCAGCATGGACGGGGGGGTCCAGGCCGCTCCCATAACGTGCGATCGTTACCGCTTCTGGGAGGGGGGGAGGAACGACCATCACGCGCCAGAGGATCAAACAACAGCTTCGTGGAAGAGCGTCTCGAAGATCAGCTGCGCACGCGGGGATGAGGACATTTCGAACCCCTCGGTGCGGTGCCTTCCCAGGCAGGCCAACCCGGCAGCCCCCCCACACTCATCCCACAGCGCGGGCGAGACTCTTGCCAGAGTGCGCCGAGGTGATGCATGAGCATGCGCCATGGCCGTATGAAAGAGGTCCCCTTCCAGAAGAAGCCACCAGCTTGCCCTGCCTAGAAGAAGAAAAAACGCTGTAAACATAAACTGTTGGCGCTCCGCGCGGATTTCTTGGATCTGCGCTGGACCCCCCTCCCTGGCGCGCGGAGCGCGCGAGGGGCGGCGCCGGAGGCACCGCCGAGGGGCCCCAGCGCGGATCCAAGAAATCCTCGCGGAGCGCCCAACATTTATGTGTGTAGCGTTTGTTTCTTCTTCCACTGCTGGAAGCAGTGATCCCGGATTGCCACTGCCACTCCAGAAAGAGGCCATCCGAGCCCGGAGACTGCCATGACATCGCCGCACGAGGGATGGCTCCCCAGGAGGGTCCCCTGGCCCAGCCTTGCTGGGCTGAGCCCAGGCGCGCCAAGGGCGCCCTCGGTTGTGGGAAGGAGCCAGCGTCCGAAGCTGCCGACCTCCACTTCGAAGACTGGTGCCGCTGCTGACAGGTGGGCAAAGCCTCATGCCCCAGAGATCTGACGTCGTGATTTCTTCAATCCCCAGAAGTCTCGACCCACTCCCAGGGACCGGCTTTTCGTCCCGAGTCGTTTTGTCGACGGTCCCGAGGCCCGGCGAGGGCCCCGAGGGGCCAAAAGCAGAGAAAAACCCTCCGTCGTGTTCTTTCCCATACTCTGGATCTCGGGGACCTCTGCTCGTCTTGAGCTCGCTGGAGACCCGGGTCCCCCGCCTGCCTCGGCGCGGGGGGGGGCGAGCTGCCCGAGGCCTCCAGCTGCTGCAGCGCCCGCAGGACGGCGGCGAAGTCCTCCCCGCAGCGCACCTCCTCGAGGAGGCGCGTGGTGAACCTGAGGAGGGGGGGCCCGCGGCAGACGACAGGCGGACGACAGGAGGAGGAGGAGGAGGAGGAGGAGGAGGAGGAGGAGGAGGAGGAGGAGGAGGAGGAGGAGAAGCAGGAGGAGCCTAAGAAGGGCTTGGAGGAGGAGGAGGAGGAGGAGGAGGAGGAGGAGGGTCGAGGAGAAGGAGGGAGGGGGGAGGAGGGTCGAAGAGGACTGGGAGGACAAGGCACGACAAGAGCACCATGGGCGCCCCATGTCGCGTAGCCCATGCAGCTGAGAGCGTCAGCGACACACGCCCAAAGCATGCCAACAAAAGACGAATGCAGGTACACGGCGCTGGGCGTAGGACTGGGGGGAAGGGAGGAGGAGGAGGAGGAGGAGGAGGAGGAGGAGGAGGAGGAGGAGGAGGAGGAGGAGAGGAGGAGGAGGAGGAGGAGGAGGAGGAGGAGGAGGACGCACGACGCACGCCTCTGGAGCACAGTTCGATGTCTGGGCAAACTAGACGCTGTAGGACCAGCTTACAACCGAAGATTTGGTGCACGCGCACGCCCTATGAGAATCCACAACTTGTCAATAGCTACATCCGACCCTCAAGCAAAACAGTCAAGCTACCAACGTGGAGTAGCCCCCTCTGCACCAAAAGGGATTGAAACTGATACGCCGGGAACAGCATAAGAAGATCACTGGTAGGATCAGGAACAGGACAGAAGGAGAAAGTAGACCCGAGGAGACAGAGCCCCCCTGGGCAAGCCCAAAAACAGGGGCGGTGGAAATCGCGTACACAACCTCAGTTTTGTACGGAATTTCCACATCCCCTTTTTGGGGGCTCACTCCTGGGAACCCCGGGGGAAAGAAAAAACTACCTGCTCTGGTATTACCTCCTACCCTGACGCACTCCAATCATGTTTCTAATCGCGGTGCTGTCCCACCCGGCGGCTCGCATGGAAGCAGCCGCGTCACTACAGTCGGGGGCTTGACCTAAGGAACGAGGCCCCCTTGTTCCATGAGTTAAACTTAGATTTCCGATCGAAAACAGATGGAAAACCTGAGGCACGCTGCGAAACACTTAAGGAGCGCGGAGCCCCTCCCCAACGAAAAGGGTTCCTTCTTCAGGGCCCCGACTGTAGAGGCGGAGTGAGGATCAACGGACGGGGGAGGCATGCTGGCAGGCCGACCCCAAAACTCGCCGCGCTCACCTGCCCTCGGGCTCCGTGCGCTGGGACGCTCGAGGTGGTGCACGGGCGCCACGCCATCCTTCCGCTGGGCGCCCAGCTGCTCCAAGCAGTTGCTGATTGAAGGGGCCCCAAGACACACAAATAAATACACACAAATAAAAGGAGTCCCCATATTTTCTCATGTTTTTCCGGGTGTTCGTCTCCCCCCCCACTTCCCATATTTTTGCCAATTTTCCTGGGAGTCGACGATTAATTGTGTCTGTGTGTTTTTCCTCTGCTGACTGACAAGGGGTCTCCTTGCTCGCGCACCTCTGGATTTCGGCGCCCGTTCCCTCGTGCACGTCGGGCACCTTGACCAGGGCGACGGTTTCTCCAGCCGCGTCCACGCTCATGCCGTCCAGGTGGCCCTCGAGATCCTGCCGGTTCTTGAGGTGAGCTCTCCCCACGCCCTCGCCCTCTGCCAGGAGACCCTCGGCCAGGCCCACAGCCGCCGCGCGCGCAGTCGTGACGAACTGAGCGAGATCGCCCTCGCTCGTGTGCTCGGCCCTCGCCTATTGGACACGTTCCAGCCAGCCTCGAGCACGCTGCCGCGCCAGGGTCACAGGCTTCAGCCCAGTCGGGGCCAGCAAAGTGATGATAGCGTCTGCCTCCGCATGCCGCGCCTGGAGTGCAAGATTCAGGACCAGCTGCACGAGCGCTGGGAGCAATCTGCCAATCTCTGCGGGGTCCATGGCTTCCAGCGCGTCCACCTCGTCGTTGCCGAGGCGCTCGCTGTCGGTACCCTTGGCGGGCGCGCCTAGTTGGACCCTGGCTGCCTCGGCCTTGCCCCCACCCTGGCCCCCCTTCCCGCTGTCGGAGCCTCTTGGCCGCCTCGGGCCGCCATCGCAGGCGTCCATGGGGGCCGCCGCTGGCATCGCACTGAACATGCCAGAAAAATTCGGGCAACGGTTCAGGCAAATGGGTGCGCAAGTGGTGGTGCAGAAAATTGAACTCCCGAGACGGCTGCAGACACTCGGGGCACGTAGCATCTGTCACGTCGATGACAAGATAGTTCCGGGCCGAGGCATCGACGATGCACCGACCATGTTGGCACGCGTAGGTCAAATGCCTGAAAGCGGTCGCGCGGTCTTTGAAGGTAGACCGGCGCGCGATATACTGGTTCGTCGTGGTCAGAGAAACAATAAGCCCACCATCCCCACGTTGGCCCCCCTTGGGCTGCCGCCAATGCACCACCAGTGCCCATGCGCGCCCCGAACCGCCCGTGGCACGAACATCCTTCAGCATCAAGGGGCAGGCCCCTCCCCACTTCGTCCGGGCCAGCTGACGGCGGCGGGGTCACAACGGCCATGCAGAACGCACGACGGCAGAATCCATCCGTCGGAAGGTCATCCGCGCATCCCCGGCCCTGAACACGTCGAGGGGGCCCGTGCCGACAGCGCCCCACGAGTCCCTCCCCACGCCCAGGCTTCGGAGGCTCTCCAGGTCCTGCACGAATGGCCGGGCCCGCGGGTTGGTCATAGCAGTCGGCTCTGGGGCTCCCAGATCGCGCGGCATCCACGGGAAAAGCTGGGGCCGCGGGTCCTCGAGCGGGAGTGCGCCGAAGCCTGCAGCAGGTTCCCGGGCATGCCGCGCAGGGTCGGCAGCAATGTCCTGCCGGCCTTTTTCAACCTCTGGACACGCAGCTCCACGCTACTTGGGACGAGGCCGAGCCGTCGCCACGCCTGAGGATTCGACATCGACCGGATGACCGTCAACTCCCGTCCATCATCACTTTTTCCCGCGCCAGAGAACCCAAACTCCATGAATCACCACGCGAGCGAGCAATCGAATGACCTCCGATGGCACCGGTGCCCTTTCGTCACGGGCGACAGATAGCTAGGTTGAACTCGTGGACGCCAGCATCCACGCATCCACTCGTGAACTCCAGTCCATCATCATCTATCCTGGTCTGCCTCGCCGCCACACCTCCGAGTAGAGCCCTGCCGTGCCGCGCGCACGCCGAGTCTGCTCGGTCAGTCTGGGCAGGGGCAGGAACAGGAGCGGGGAGGCCCGACACACCAGCGCCAACACCAGTACTGCGGAATGCAAGCTTTGTGTGTGTGTGTGTGTCCGCGAGGCTCTCGATTTCCAAAATCGTCGCATCGCGTGCCACCCCCCCGCAATCGCATCGCAACGGCTCTCCATTTCAGGCCGCCAATTGCGGGTCGCATCGAAGATCGCGCCGAGAAACGGAGCCTGTTGGTGAACCTGGCCTGGCAGGAATCCAGGGTTGTAGTGGACGTACTTGTTGAACCTGTGGGACCAGGGCCAGCATAATGAGCGACACTCGTTTTTGTTCACCTGGTTCCGAACTACTCCATAATTGCGAAACTCTCGGTTGAGTATACTTCCGGAAGTTTCGATAACCGTTCTTGTATGCGCAGGGTCGGTAGTCTGGTGGGACTTATTCACGTCGTCGGCATACGTTCGGAGAGAGAGATCCCAAACGATTCCCGAAATAGGGCAAGTAGCCATAAGATCGTGGGGGTGGCGGCTGATCAACTGCTCAATCCGTGCTTGCATTGGTTCACAAAAAGCCTCCCGGAACACCGTCGCCGAATTGGAATCCCCCTGGAAGTTCCCTGTCCCGTTCCGGAACCATGCCTGTTCCCCACTCGCCTGCGCGAGGGAACACGCCTGTCGGTGGCGCTGGCACATGAAGGGGACGTCCACGGATTCATATGATGTCTGCACTGCTCCGTCGAGCTCGGAATGCGACACTGACGCAAACGCATTCGTCATATCGTGTTTGGTGTCCACTATCGAGACATTGGCCTCGCACATACGCCTCCAAAGAGCCGCTGTAGTACGGATGACCCCAAGTCGTGAGCGGCCTCGAAGGTACCCATAGTCTCCGTGAGGAGTGTCAGTGGTTTCCTGGCGGGCACACTTCACCCACGCCTTCCCGACAGAACACATGCCATGAAGCAGTCGTGTTCCAAAAGACCCAGGCTTTCCGTTGTATCTGGGTACCTGGTACGTTTGAGACTGATCCCCTTGCATGCCCATCCCTCCGTTTGTGGCGGACGCGGGGTAAAATCGAAGTGGCCCACCCCTTTTATGAGGGCACCAGGTGGGCTCGGGGGCGGGGCTCCAAGTCAACTAGTACAAAGGGGCCCTCGGACACACAAATAAATACACACGAATAAAACTATTCCCCCCAGATTTCCGCATATTTTTTGGGGCTTCTGCCTTCCCCCCCCACTTCCCCATAGTTTCCCATCTGCTCTGGGGAATCGCCGATGAATTGTGTCCGTGTGTCTCTCTCCCTCCTGATCGTAGTCGGATTAGGAGTGGGGCGGTCCGACAGAAGCAGAGCCCAGGACTTCCGGAGGCACGGACCAAGGGACCCGCCACTCGTCGCCCACGGCCGGCCGGGAAGCCCTCGGCGAGACGCTCGAGATCGACGTCGTGCGCCAGCGTCCGCGCAGCACCGTCGGGTGGGGCGCGGTCGCCTCGCGGAGCATCGAGGGGCGATGAATTCGACCGGGTCGACGGGGGCAGCGAGCATCCCCCCCCTCTTGGGGAGGGAGGGCCAGGCCTTGGGCCCACTCGGCCATGGTGGGCAGGGAGTCGGGGAGAGTCGATTGAGATCCCACTCCACCGGATGCCAATGTCCGACATGTTCTCCACTCTTCCTGAGCCTCCCCCCGCCGGCACGCCCCAGGAAGCTCCTCGCACAAGCGTCGTTCCCTCGTCTTGCTCAGCTCGCGTCGCATCGCACGGCACTGCTTCGGCACTCTCGTGAGGCGCATCACAGCATCAAGCTCGTCCGCCACATGAGCACGAGCCCTCCCTGGCCATCGCTCGGACGTCCATTCCCTGTGCTTTTTTCGGTTTCGTGCGTGGTTTTTTCGCCGAATGATCAAGGCTGCTCCTCGGTGGTCCTCGCCGAAGGAAAAATGCACACGTCCGAGCGATACCAAGCTCCCCCCTCTCCTGGCAGGCTCCTGGCACGCCGCTGGTAGGGTACGGCGAGTAGCACTGTAGAGGTCCCCCCCCCACGTCTGCTGGAGCGTCCCCACGAGGAGATCCCGGGCTGTCTCCAGGCCAGGGGTCTGCCTTACGAGCCCTTCCGTGCTGGTAGCTCCCGACTGCCACCAAAACGTCGGCAGCTGCGACCTCAGCGGCCGTACGAGACGGAGTCGCAGCACATTCGGAGGCGAGGGCACGAGCCAATCCGACACAGTCCCAGCGCATCTTGGGAGCCCCCCCTGTACATAGTAGGCGGACATCGAACTCCGAATGCAACGCAATATGGTCTCGGGGTCTCGCAGCCGGTATGGCCTGGAGCTTGCGGGTAGACCTGTAAAGCTGACCGGATCTTGTCACCTTGGGCAGGGTACCTAGTGGTTAACCAAGACCTGGTCGATTCTAGACCGGAAGGTGGCGACCATAGTAACTCGGGCCACAAGTAAAGAACGTATCCAAGAACCCCAGCCCGTCAACCGCCGCCGTCCTCCGAAGCATCCCTCCCGCCAAGTGCTCCTCCGACCTTTCATAGGGGACCGACTGTGGGGAGGATACCATCTGCAGTCCCTGAGGGCCGATCGTCATACCAATACCGTCGTTCACATCCGAAACAACGGTAGGAATGTTCCGAGTGGGGAGGTCACCCAGCACATCCGTCAAGCAATCCGTCACATGGCTGCTACATGTAGTTAGCATGAGTGCCTGCTCTCGCCTGACTCGGCTTCGGGGGCAGCAGCACAAACCACGAACCGTAACGTCATGGTTGTGACCTTTTCAGGCGCACTGCGGCAGCCCGTACACGAATGCACGATTTCGGCATCAACATTCGTGCGATGGCCCGCGCTTTGCTAGTGGTTTCGTTGAGCAGCACTGTGGTACCACACGCGGAGTTCGTGTATGTCTGCTTGCTCCAGCCAAAGTGCAATGCTCTGAAGTGTGGGACGTGCTCCAAATCGTGCGGCCTCAAAGCTTTCCTCTGGGTGCCGATCAGGACTATGACATCGATGTGGTGGCATTCCAGCGTTATTTACCGAAATCTGTCAGGGTCAGAAATAGATAAGGGGGTCCAAATCACCACTCGCATGACAATAGAAAACAAGAGGGCGGGCGTGCGCACGCGCACTCATCTGCCAGGAGGCCGCGGCGCGCGCATAGCATCCCCCAATCGGCCACGGGGGGCTCGGCCTGGGACACGCGTGGCTAGGAGGAGGAGGAGGAGGAGGAGGGGGAGGAGGAGGGGGAGGAGAAGGAGGAGGAGGAGGAGGAGGAGGAGGAGGAGAGGGAGGAGGGGGAAGAGGAGGAGGAGGAGGAGGACGACGACGAGGACCCGAATCTCCCCAACGACATGGTCTCGTCAGCTGGCGAGTCTCCCCCGGATGCGGCCCTCGGGGGCCGCCGTCGGGCCCCAAGGCCATCAGCACTGAATCCGGGACGGGAAACTACCCCCTGGGATGCGGTCGGGACTGCTGGTGCCGCGAATTGAAACAAAACAAAAAATCATGCATCCCCAAAAGACGCATCCCCAAAAGACTGTCGGGCCCGTTCCCTCGCGCGGCGGGGGTCGGGACGGCGTGAGCTCTCGAGGCAGACGCCCTCAAACAACACAGGTTGCACCACATATCCGCCACCGTGCCTCATGCCGCGAATCGGACGGCAGATGCATCCCCAAAAGAACCCCAAAAGACTAATATAACCAAAAGATCCCCCCCCCAAAAAAAAACAAACAAAAAAAAGAGATCCGCGGATGTCAAGGAGGAGGGTCCAGAAGGAAGGGGAGCAGGAGGGGGCCCTCTCCCCCGCTCCCGTCTCCTTCCTCTCTCCTCCTCCCTGGCTGTCTGCTCGGACACGTTGCTCGACTGTTCGATGATACTCCCCCAGGGCTGGCTTTTGGCCAGCCCTGGGGGAAGCGGCAGCGTGCGGAGCACTCCCATGCCGTCGGGGAAAAAAAAAGTAGGAGGGAGGAGGAGGAGGAGGAGGAGGAGGAGGAGGAGGAGGAAAAAGAGCAAGCACAAGGATGAGGAGGAGGAAACGAAGAACGAGGAGGACGCGGAGGAGGAAAGAGGAGGAGTGAAGCGTCGCATCCGCCAGCCAACGGAAACGAATGGCACTGCCACCGAGGCCCGCCCGAACCCAGAAGCGAGCCCTCGCTCCAACGCTGTGACCGTGGACCAGACGGAAGACCTCTTGTCGGCCCTTCCTGAAGGGGCCCCAGTACACACAAACAAATACACACACATAAAAATATTCCCCATAGGTTCCCAGATTTTCTGAGTTTTTGTCTTCGCCCCCACTTCCCATATTTTCCCATATTTTCTGGGGAA